AAATCTAACAACGACAGTGTTGAAGGAATTGCGAGAGGAAATAAAAGAAAATAGAAATAAAAAAAATAAATTCCTCTTGATTGCCTCATTATAAATGTTATTGGATAACATGGAGAAATTCGATTGAGAGTTTTGAAAACTAATATTAGAATAAAAAACAAATAAGTTTTGAACCGTATATTTGGTGTTTGATCTTCTTCTTCTTTTTTATGTTTGATCCTTATTTGAACAAGGATTTAAAATATATTTCAAACTTATTATTCGACCATTAGATGCAAAATTAGAATTATAGCAAACATTCAATAAGATTCGAAGATGATATTATTTGTTCAAACAACATTCAAACTATTCCCTCTTCTCTTTCAAATTTTTGAATACAGATATATGATAATACAAACGGATTGAAATTAGAGTATGCTGCATAAGTACAACAATAGAAAATACTTGAAGAGGTAAGAAAACTAATAGATAACTTTCCTACACTAATGAATGAATGGAGGCATTTTCCATTAGTTTTCTTTCTTAATCAAATACATCCATTATTGCTTTTATATCAATCTCCTTTCATTTTAACTCATCTACATAAATATGTTTATGCATAAATTAATTTGAAAGAGAAGAGAGGGTTCAAACCTCATTCAAGCATGATTCCAACAACTTTAATATAGCAAGTTCATCCAAATACAAGTTATAACATCATTTATATAATACATCATAATACATTTATGAAAAAAACATTTATATGACAAAATACAGCTTTAACATAATAGCATATCATAACTTCAACACATGAGAGTGCAATCATAATAGTTTTAACACACCAACTACAACACAATAAGAACATAGCGCAAAATGAATGAATAAGAATAATAGAATATATATCATTTATGGACCTAAATGAATCAACACGACCAAAGAAATGTACATCATAGAAAGAACTAAATGAAATGATAAGAATAATATAATGTACAACATTTATAGAATTAAAAAAATTGATAGGAATAATGAAATGTGCATCATTTCCTAAGGACCTAATTTATAATTACAACCTTTGTTAAAAACAATGGACCTAAATGTACATTACTTCCCACTATGTATCTATGGATCTATGGTTTTGAATTATTATAAAATAAATCTACACATAGTTGGCTTATGTTGAATGGTATACAATAAGACGTAACATCTAAAAGAACTCGTTTTGAAGTTAGTCAAATGATATGTCGTATTGCATAATACTATGCACTATTTGATGCAAATTAAAAGAGCACCTATCATACTATATGCATAAGCAGTACATAATTTTTTGTTAAAATTTCAAATTGATTTCCTTAAACTATACTATACATGTAGACCTCACATGTTGGCTCTCTTTCACTTCCAAGGAGATATGAGTAGAAAAAGTTTTTTTTCAATGGCCAAACAACCCTGAAAATTTTAAGTACTCTAGAGAAGCAATTATAGAATTAATTCATTAGTATGTGCTGAAATACAAGAGCTTTTAGAGTCATATAACATCATTGCCTTCGAAATGCATGAGAACTCACATATTATCCAATGAACTTTATTTTAGTTCATTAGAAATATAAGCCCTACATCAACCCGAGACTTTATGAACTTCTCTTCATATCCAATAGTATAAGATTAGCATAGAGTTAGGTCACCTAAGAGAGTCCTTCAACTTATTGTATATAGAGACTAGTGATCTATACTTATATAGTATTGACCATACAATTTAACCAAGATAATAATGCCTGGTCCATAAGTTTTTTTAAGTAGCACCATATCCGCTCACTTATTACGTAAAACAAAACATTTGTGCTACAAAGAAGATTGAAATTCTAGCGAGGAGTAACATATGGTTGAAAAATAATCACGATGAATAGACTAAAAAAATAATTACCTTGCTATCTAGCCAAGTTGTGATTATATTTAACTATTAAATCTAAGTTGCATTTCTACTACCTACCCCTACCTTTGTTTTGAATTTGTCTTCAAATCCTGTCATCCAAACTTTAAGGAAAGATAATTGCTCATGCTTAGGGAAAGGAGATCAATGCCACATGGATTCGTTAACTAGTGCCTCTTTTCTAATGACTCTATTAAATATCAAATCAAATATTTATTTTACTTTATCTCCTCCTTTGGTAATTTCTTAACTTTATATCATCTTTAAATATAATTTAGGGAGATGGGCTAATAGCTCTAGCCAACTTCACCATAAAACCTTCAATCTCCATATGAACGATTGAATAAGTAGCAATGCCCTTAATAGTGTCCTCCTTGACCACCTCAACTTTAACCTCAACATGAATGGTTGAATTAGTTGTAAGGACCTCCCTGCTATCCTCCTCCTCCTCACTAATTTGTGTGCCACAATCAACACCTTGATTATCCTACTCTTCATGTACAAAACTCTGCACAAAACTACTTAAAACCTCTAATTCAACCAAAGCACAGATTTTTTTTTTTTTTTTTTTTGAACTACTCGTTCTTCAACTCCTTAATAATTGCAAAAAGCTATTTAACTTATCAAAGAAAGGTATGGATTGATTAGATGAGGGCATGGACCATGGAATAATTTATGTTTGGTATTTCATACATCTCTCTTGTTTTTGTCTCAGTGCAATAACCACATTCGCCTATAAAAGATGTATTGAAATCTTATTTATAACCCTAATTGAAAGAGGCTAACGAGTACATACAATTGACATCTTCATTAAGTATATGCATCAATGCAGATCTAACAATTGACCACAAAAAATAATTCAATGCAAGCTTGATAGTTATTTTACAATAATAATTAACCTAACATTTAAATTGCAATATTTTACACAAAATTTATATCTTTCTTCATTAAAAATGCAAAATACTTTTGCATGTGAGAATTTTATTGCTCTTCTAGCTTAAAATCTACGGTGCTCTTTATCCAAGGAACTCCACCATTTTTCTTAATTTTGGGATAGTTTCATAAGCCTAATAATGCCATGCTATGGCATGAATAGTAATAGTTTATTCGGCTGGGGGTTTCTTTTTTTAGGTATTTCCCTCAAAGTGCATAATATCCTTGTTTAGCCCTTTCAACATCCTCCTCTCTCATGATTGCCTTCGCATCTAAAGAAATATTCTTTATCTTCAACCAAGGCAAGTATTTTAGTTAAAATAACACTATGCTGTCATAGTTAAGCAAAATAACATCAACAGAAAAAATATAATATTAATTTTCATATAACTTTCTTCTCAGTACATTTCATGAATACATTCTCTATTTTGGCATTCTTAAACTTACTATCACCATCTCGGTAGTTATCAATAAACATGTCAATTGCAATCATCACCTCAACATTCTCCTCTAATAGAAATTCTCCAAACCCCAACAAAGTAACAGTAGCAAATTCTCCTATTCTAAATCTAATATTCTTATCTCTAACGTTAAAAACAATGATGTATCTATCGTTAATTATCCTCAGCAAAAATTAAAGAATTAAGACTCCAGAGAACTACATCTTAGCAACAATAAAAAGTTTCCATAATGAAAATTCACACCCTTAACTGAATCTTAATTTTATCGATCACACCCCTAACTCCACAAGTGATCTAAGAAGTGAAATGCCTGTGTGTGTATGATTAGTTGAAATATCTGCATATATAGAAAGTTACTCGAATGAATCAATTTCATACAAGATAATAAAAAAAATCAACATAGTATGGAGAAGATTTGAACATTATTCAAACCTCTTTTTAGAACCATAGTTCAAACATTATTCAAACATATATTATATGATTGAAACTTGTTTGAACTAGGTGTTAACAAAATTAAAACATATAATATAAGGTTTGAACTAAAGTTTGAACCTTTAACCAAATGTTTGAACTTCTTGCGAACATAACTATTGAACCTACCCTCATTCATTTTCCATCCTATGATAAACAAGAAGGCCAGCATTAGAAGAGTCAATGAAAGCATTTTAATTCAAATAAAGAAAAAAATAAACGAGAGTGTTTGAAGGGATGTTACTAAAGGCTTAAAAAGAAGATCACTAAAATGAATAAGATGCTTGATCAATACAAGTGAATAAGATGCTTAGCACAGGAAAGTTTGATCAAAACAAACGTTTAAATGCTCACATCTAAATTAAGGACTATCCCTCATAATATAATAATTAAGTTGTTTTTACCAAAAATGAACATACTTCACAAAAAAAATGTATGCATATATATATATGAATTTCCCAATTAAAATGAACTGGTGGGTTAAAGGTATTGAATTGAAATTAATTTTCACCAACTTATTTGATCAATGAAAAATTGACTTTTATCTCTTTTAAAGAGTTAACAAGTGAGTCCCAATAATAATTTGATAAATTTAGTTTTTGTTTTATATCAAGAATGAGCAAGAAATTGTCAAAGAAAAAAAATTGTACATACTTTCCAAGTAAAATTTAGTAACATATGGATGAAATTGAAATCAAATACCTAATACAAATTCTTTTCGACCTCCCTCAATTCTAGACTATTTTCTTACTCATAATAATTCGTATGGCCACAATCAAAAGGCTTATGAAAAACTAGCCTCTTCCTCTTACTTTCTCAACCTGTTTGTCCTGATCAAACTGATCGAACCTTCTCCATAAGCAAAGCATATAACATAATGTTCTCCATAGAACAAAAACTAAGCCCAAACTTCAAAGGCATTTAAGTAGGGATGAGTTGTGAATATGTGCTTTGGTTGTATAACTTATTAAAGGTTCCTCTTTTAGTTGAGCAAAGCAAGCTCCCATCATTTTCAAGCTGTTAATAAACAACCCAAATGATGCAGGAACTGATATTTCTTTCATGGAGGTATTTCTAGCCTTGTAAAATCTTCCAAGTGAACGAACAACAAATAATTGTCATTAATTTGAGAAAAATAATGAATTTATAATAAGAAAATGCCCCATGATTACCATAAATTAAGTAATAAATATAATAATGCAATTTCAAAAGAAATTTTCACCAGAAGATGATAAGAAAATGCCCCATGGCAAATTGTTAATCAGTAATGTGGTGGAATTGAAAGATAAATAATTTGCCACCACAAAAAGTGATCTCCAGGCAACACATAATGGCTTGTTTTTGCAAGTTTTGGCCACTGTAACTAAAATTTATAGTTAGAATGATTTGACAAACTCAGCCGAAGATACATTATTAAGAGATTAATGAACCAAATGAAGGTCTAAGATCTTTGTATCATTAACTTATTTACATGTCAATATAGAGCTCCAACAAGGTAACCATGAGACAAGCTCTCAACGTGTTGGTGAAACGCTGGTGATTCGCTAGTTGGGGATTCTGACAAGCCTGAAAGAGCAGGAATTTTTGGGAAGAGAACTACGTTATTGTTTAATTTTTCCCCCCTTTTTCTAGTGAACTCTAAACTTCATTGCAAACAGAGAGACTAGAAAACTAGCATTAAGCTCTAGTTTATAGACACCAGTACTTTCATTACCGTGAAACCACCCATTGATACATAATAGGTTGTCACATGTCAAAGACCTTACTTGGAAGGCAAATTAATTTTCTTCTGGTATGTCCTTCGGTGTTGATCTGTCCCAAGGGAATGCTTTGAAGGAGCCAAATTCCGTAGAGAAGCATGCAAAAGCATCACTAGTTTAATAAAAAAAAAAGGATTAATGGATGAGGTTCTAATAAGGCAGGGAAAATCATATTCATTGTTTAGGACTTCATTAGAACCTGTGTAGCTGAGAACCGTGGTGCAAAAAAGAGCCACCTGAAGATTGCTTAAATATAGTATCGCCAACATTACTGCTAAGAAAGGAATGGATTAGAAAATAACTTATATGTCGAAAGGGAAAACAAGCAAAGCATCTTCAAATATCATAATCATTAGCCTTATCATAACTATTTGCAAAAGAACACAGAGTCTCATTTTCCATTTATTCATGTTGAATGCTAGAAGAGATGTTAAGAATATTTTAGTGCTCATTTGGCTGCTTAAAGATGGAAAATATGTTTTAATTATTTTGTTTTCATTAATATGATCATTTTCAATCCGATTCTTTACATTTTAACTCTTACCTATCCACCTCATTATTGCAAAAATAAGACAAACCCTCCAATCATGATGACAGCAAATGAGGAGTCTTCGAAAATCCTGGTGAAAGTATGCAGATTGTTGAACAAGAAGAAAATAAAGAAATGAAGAACTAGGATGACTCTCCAAGCAAGATGACGGCAACAAATGAGTCAAGATTGTTGGGCGGCAAATCATTTGAAAACTGAAACCTAACATAGATGAAATTGAAAGGGAAGCAGAAGCTTCAAATGATAAAGTAGATAACTAGTGAGATAAAGGTCATGACTGCCAAGATTTAAAACTAAAAAAATGCAAGAGTAGGCAGAACATATTGAGATGAATCTCAGGCAAAATGAACGTAGCTATCTTTAAAGAGAATGATAGATCCCGTGGGCTGAGATGAACAGTGGTGCCCAAAGTGTCTAGAGCAAGAAGCTCATAAAACTTGCACATGGAGGAGTTGCCATTCCCTATGTACTTGAAGAAGAGAAGGGAAGGCTGGCTAAAATGGAACATAAAAGAAATAGACTACTGACTGGAACAAAAAAAATTCAATCATTGTTTCAGTAGAATAAACGGATAGACATCACAGTCTAAAGGCCTGAGACTACTAAGGAGATGAATAAAGTATACAAGACCAAGTGGTCCATATTGAGTCTGTTTTATGGCCCGCTAATCTTAAAAAGCAAGTTTCTTGGACGCAAACAAATAATATATGGAATGACACTAGTGGATATCAACACTCGGACATCTAAAGTCAACAATAATGTATATTTCAAACTTAATAGGGAGGGTGCTCCTAAGGAGATATAAGCCCTTGTGCACCAAAAAAGGAGTCTTGTTTCTCCCTTGCATCTTCTCCCTTGTCTCTTCCCTAATGCTATCATCTAGTAGATGATGATAGACTTTCTTGTACCAAGCACCTTATATTTTGTAGTGGACTCCTCCCTCACACCACATAAACATAGGCTACAAAAGTCAAACCATGCAAATCCTAGTCTTCATATCATTCTCCCTCTCTCTCTTTCCTCCCTCTTCATAAACATTTTCTCTCTCTATAACCACTTAGTTGGATCCCACAGGCACCCTCTTCAAGAGTCATTTGTCAAACTTATCTTTGACTAACATTTCTTCCCTAAAGCAAGGAAGCATCTCGAACGGAATGCTTGCCTTCTCTATTTTTGGTGCAACGTGATGCCATCCTAGCAACAAACCAATTTTCATAGTTTACATTTTCAAGAAATGTTAAGACGCTTCGATTCCAGAGGAAAATTAAGCTTGAGAGGGCCTAAAAAATGCCCCTATTTGTTGTTGCCCAATCAACGAATGTCAATATTTTAATTGGCACATCTCCAAGATGTCCTAACTAGTTCGTTCTCCGTTGTTTCTTTAGTCAGCCAGAGAGGAAGCAAAAAACAAAGATTACTCAAGTCATTTTCAAACAAAGAAAAATAGGCAGAAACTAAGCTCAATGATGCCAAATCATGTTGAAGGCATTCTGCTTACCAAGAAGATAGTAGTAGTATCAGCATGTCACAATCAAGTTTTCTCCTAGCCAATAAAACTAAGATGAGGGGGAGTAGACTTTTGGCCCCTCCCAATGCATCTTAAATGACCATAATAAACCAACCAAGAGCAATGTTGCAAAATCACGATGTCCTCATTGCCAACAACTGAGGGGAGGACAATAACTAAATTTCAAGACACCTTAAACAAAGTAAGAGCAATGTTATAAAGGTGGATGTTAATATGTTGCCTGATCATTATTGTCAATACTAACCTTCGTTTGAAGAGGCACCAAAATTTGGATGAATTGCATCCCACGACGGCAAAAGTAATCCTACAACCTTATTGTTCACCGTCATAAGAAATTGACCACAAGTGACTACTTTGGCCAGCACTTGGACTCCTAAATGATTCAACCCAAAAAATTGGATCTCTTTTTATCAAAGAGACAGGGAAATCTAATTGAGAACACTCTCACCCAATTGCAAAGCAATGTCAAAAAGAGTTGAAGTACTACTATGCTTTCATTAATTCTGTTGCCCATTCTATCCACCAACCGAACAAAATGCTTATACCCTAACCAGCTGCAGACTGACAGGCACTATGCCTACCGAACTTATGTACCAAGGTCAACATATGACATATTAGTAGTTGGATTTTGAGGTAAGCCAGAAGGACACCCAAGTTTGCATCAAGACCTCTTCCATCCAATCATTTTGGAGTCAACCCATGCTCTTATTAGTCGTGACAAAGTAGATGGGTTAAGTGGGAGGCCACCCTTTTAACCGATGGTGAAAACCTTAAGACTATATTAGCATAGACCCAACCAATTCCATAATTGTTGGGTCAATTGCCTCATGTACTCCAAGAGGGGTTCCAAACTCGCCAATAAGATGGTTCACCTTATAAGCAACTTTCACTATCATCACTAATTCAGTCAGGTTCATCTTAACTCCAATAAGGTAGTTTCCCAAAGCTGCCTAATCGACCTCTCTTTCCAATATCATATCCATTCTAATCATGCAAAGAAGTGACACCATCTAAGTTGCCCCAATAAAATAATTACCATTGCAACCTCATAATATTCAGTCTTGATGTTTCTTATTATACAATAGCATTCTACTTTGTAAAATATGTCAATATGTGGTCATCTACTCCACCTGGTTTTAGCTGTTCCACCTTATGTTCGTAGCACCAATTCTTTGCCAAACACAACTAATTATTCTATCTTATGCTAAGAAAGAGAGAAGAGGGAGTTCCACTCAAATTTGGCTAAAATGAGTGAATACCATAACAAAAATTTTCTAAGAGATAGAATAAGGAAATGACTTTACTAAGTAGAAATTTTCTTTTTTGGCTTTTTCAAAAAAAAATTTAACCATGCTAGCAAAGTCACCAGTAGAGCATAATCACCAAGGTCAAAAAAGTGTGAATGCAAAAAATTCCAAAAAAAGAAAAGGAAAACAAGTTGTTGGCATCCACTTCATTTGCCACCTCAATATTACTCTATAAAACACTGTGCCCTAACATGCCAGGAATGATTACCTAATATGCTTAGCACAACCATCATCCACACAAAAAAGGAGGAAAGAGAACACCATTGTTTTGAGAGAAAATGGAAAAATTGTTCTCTCGAGCATGGAATTTCCTTTCTATCTAAAAATTTTTCAACTTACAACTAAAGGTCGCTAAAAAAGCATGCTCATCAATGACAAAATTGCTTAAAGGCATAAAAGAACATAGAAAAAGTCACTTTATGCCATTAGCCTCCTTGAGGTGATTTCATCGACCTTTTGGAATTCACAATAGCTCTATCATGAAAGCTTGATGTCCAAAGGCATCAACGAGTCCTCCAAAAGTCATGAAAGCTTGGAAAGCACACACCTAAAGACACGGAACCCTTCCTTGCCCAAGTGCTGGCCATACCTAATCCAATTAGCTACCCTTTTATCGCTCAACAACCTCCTTATAGAATAAATTAATCTATGCTAGTAGTCAACTCCCCAACTCCTACACAAAGTTTTAGAGCACCCCCACCTTGGTCATGATGTCATGGTGATTGTAGGTTCAACGATCCAATCTCAATTGCAGCTCAAACATTTTGATCCTCACCCTAACTAACTCACCGTAAGGGTTGACAAACTACGATGTCATTAATGTCATCATTAACAAATGCCCCATCAAGGTAACAATTCGTTCCTTTGAAGATACTACTAAAGATTCAAAAAGTTGTCAAACAATTTTTACTCCAACTAGCCCATCAACGAGAAAGTTGGCAACAACATTCATTGCCGCCATTAACCCAACCACAATGATCTCATGCCTCTTCTAGTTAGCGCACATCACCCGCCAAATACAACTCAAAGGGTCTAAAATTTTAAACGATGAATAGTTTCAATATCAACTTTGGCACTAGGGGAGTAAGCGTCTTTTTTGATCTGCATTGATAAAGCATGAATCACATGTGTCATCATTATTATTCAGCCGTGATGATGTGGCAAAGCCATTTCTTCAAAAGTCATCGAAGGGACTATTGCCACTCTTTCTCTCTAAAATTGCTCTCCTCCATCATCCTGGGTGTTGTAGCTCACAAATTACTAGAAATTGTGATAGGGAATGCCACAATTGGTGAATAGACAACCGTAAGAGAAGTACCTTCAAAAATAATGTTAGAGTTAATATCTTATTTTGACTATCTAACACCTCTATAAGGATCACCGATCATTTTTCGATTAGTCTTATTACCCACGCCACCCCTACCAAAGTAGGGGTCAACAACTTCTTCCTCATAGCCAGCTTGGGATCCTCCAATATCAACCCACATAAGTCGGATCCTTCAGCATAACTCCAATTATTAAACATAGCCCCAAAATCCTTAAACACGGAGACCACCTCAACATTGCCACTAACGGATTGATTTGTTGGATCAGCATGACCAATCTTTCATCTGCCAACAACATGAAGAAGTAGGGCTTTTTCTAGTCCATGGTTCTAACCATTTCTCGAGCACATTATCAATCGGTGTAAGGGTTTCAAGCATAACAAGTTGGTAAGTTACATTTGTAGCTGAAAAACTATATTAGCTTTGATGGACCAACTCACTCCATGGTTTTGGAGGAGCCATGCCCTATCTAGTACAACAACAAGTTTAGCAGCAACCAAGGAAGCACAGTATCACTCGACAAAAATAAATTCTCTTGCTCCTTGTTGAAAGGAAACTAGA